AATATTAAATAGTTTTTACCTGGTTTATTCTAACTTTGTCATCTTTACTTGGCTTTTTTTTCCTTTGCTGTGTTGAGTGATTTTAAAATGTCATTTAGACCTCATACTTTTTAATATTAGACCCCACTAATAATTCACTTGACATAGAAAAGTGTTGACATAGCTTGTGTTGAATTTAAAAAAGCAAATACTGTGGAATCTCCCTAAAAAACATGAACATCAAACTGAAAATATTTTATTCTGTCTCTTTGCCAAGCATCTTCATTATGCACGCATATAGGAAAAGGAGAAAAATGTAAGATGACAGATATTTAAGATTTATGGAGCTGAAAAGAGGGAACTGTCTAAAGGCTTTGACAGAGTAAGCATATTGGTACCAGAAGATCAGGCCATCCATTGACTTTCAGGCAGGCATATGGCCAGCAGTGTGGGCCCTCAGGAGTACTGACATGATGGACTGTTAAAGCCTAGTGACTTAGCAGAGAGCTTCGCTAGGTAGTAAATGCCTCACTCTCTGCCTGCATCCTGTGGGGTTGTTTTGCTCAATCTGAAAATGTCTGAGAGGCTGAGCATGTGATTAACACTGATGCTATCACAGGCTAGGTTTCCACTATACACTACAGAGCTTTTCTTGTCAGATATTTGAATTACCAATCCTGGAGTCCCTGCTAATTTTCAATACCCAATTACTTTCCTGGCCTCCCCCCCACCATGGTTCCCAGATTGCCTAGAGTGTTATGAAGAGAAATGAGGACACAAGAAGTAGGATGCTAGAGATGATCATCTACTGAGAGGTGTATCCTGACTCCAAGGCATTTAATACCTACAAACAACTGGCAACATGACTCACTTGTACATCAAGAGCAAAACATCCAGTGACTTTTGAATGTCGTGATCAAAGGGAGTCAGTACAGAACAAAGACCTAGTGACATGAAAACAACCTAACCAGCACATCGTTGTATTACATCACTGGCTTCAGATGTGCTGCTTGAGCTGGGCCCACTTCCCCAACAGTCCTCCTCAGCAAGAACTAACCTCAGGATGTGTTCTGCATTTTTCTAAGGCTTTCCCATATATAATATTAGGACTGGATGAAGAAAAAAGTTCTTTGAAAATTGTGTATAACAAACCACCTGAAAATCAAAGAAAAAAGATGATGAAGCAAAGCAACACGACAAAAGGTACGTCAAAAAGATATTCAGGGGTGTTGTACTTGCAGGGTTTTGCAACCTGTAACGCTGATTCCGAAGAGCACTACTATTAAGTAGGTGAAATCTCTTCCAGCTTCTTTCACTGCAAAGAGAAAAATGTCAATAGGTTACAAGTGTGTTCACTGTAACCTGACCCTTTGAGGCTTCAGCCATTCCTAGCAGGTGACTGGTGCAGTCAGGGTAATAAAGCATTCTCAGCAGCTGACTGCAAATGTCCCTGTGCACCAGAGCTGCAGCAGAATTTCTCATCTCAATGCTAAACAGACCCAGCATTGTTTACCTAAGATAAGAAGAGAGTGGGTGTGTTCAGGCTGGCATGACTGTATATAGCACCTAGCAATCTCTGTATTTCTTGCATTTAATGTTATAATTGTACTACTGCTTCCTTTCTAACAGTAGAAAAACCTGTATCAGTCCTCAAAGTAAGAACTGGTGAGGCAACATGGACACAGGTCTATCCTGCCCAGAATGAGTGTAGACTCAGTCAAAGGACAAGGGATCAAAATGGCATCAACTCTTAACAGTAGTCTTCCTAAATGCATCCTCTGGGCCGTCACTGATTGGTACATAAAATATGAGAACCAAACTCGGAATTAGAATATAATTGGTCAGGAAGATTTATGAAACAAATGAACTTACAAAATGAAGAGTCTATGAAGACTGTCCTTAGTTTTTCCAAACTAATAAAAGATGTACATATAGATTAAGGAGAAATTCTGGGAGCTAAGGAAATTCAATCAAGTTATGGGAGAATATATATGTATACATATTACATACACATATGCATGTATATGCAATATCACAACTACTTTTTTAAATACATATTTTTATTGAATTTTTGTTATTTTTACAATACACTTAATCATAATTAGACTCCCTCCCATATCTGCACCCCCACAGGATTTCATGTATTCTATCATAAGTTAAGGCCTATGTTGTCACTTATTGCTGTAAGTTTATATGAGTAAGTTCCCAGAAGCCTGGAAAACTCTTGTTTCCCTGTACTCATTCACTACACCTGGCTCTTACAATCTTTCTGCCCCCACTTCTGCCATGGTCTTTGGCCCTGCGTGCATGAGGTTTAACATAGGAGTCCTATCCAGGGACACACACTCTGCAGTCTCTTATTTTCTACATTTTAGCCCAACTGTACTTTTTCACGGATATTGAGAAATATCTTACCTTTCTGGTATCATACTTATAGGTTAATCTATTCACCACATTAGGAACCCAGACTTCTTAAATTTAAACTGTAACAATTTATTTTTCCAGGAAATCAAAATTTTAATGGGTGTTATTATTTTCTCCACTTAAAAAAATCTGTATGACAACCTATTACTTTTATAAAACTACTTATTTAAAAGTAACTTTACCACAACATATTCTAGGTTTTCAGTACAGCTTCCTAACTTAAACCATGATTCAGGGGGCTAGAGAGATGGCTCAGCAGTTAAGAGCACTGAATGCTCTTGCAGAGGACCTGGGTTTGATTTCCAGCATCAACAGGGCAGCTAACAACCATCTGTAACTCCACTTCCAGGGAATCTCATGCCCTCTTCTGACCTCCACAGGTACTACATGACATGGGTGAACTTGCATACATGCAGGCAATATACTCATACACATAAAATAAAAATAATAAATAAAAAATATTTTTAAAAATGTGATTCAGGTGCTGGAGAGATAGTTCGGTGGTTAAGAATGCTTTGCTTGCTGTTCTTGCAGAAGACCAGGATTCAGTTTCCAGCACCCATGTCAGGAAGCTCAAAACTGTGATCTACTGCCCTCTTCTGGCCTCTAGAGACAGCTACACACACACACACACACACACACACACACACACACACACACACATACACACCCCTTAAAAAAGAAAAAATGTTATTCAAATAATATCAAGATTATATCTGCTAAAATCTGTGTAATTCATGGTCACCGATCTAAACAATAACTGTCCCCACAAATCCAATCTTGCCAGGCTAAGAAGCTGAGTGGCCTGCAGTGACAACACCTACTCCACTGTCCATGTCATGAGGTACATCAGTAGACTCTAACTGTGCACCAAGCCCTGTTGACAGCACAGTAACCAGACTAACACATAGCCATATTTGTTCCCCAGACTCCCAATTGTTCCTGCTAACCCTCACTACTGATGTTATCTAATGTGTAAAGTTGTTAATATTACACACACCTGTAAGTACTGAACTGTGGCTGTCCTCACTCTTCTGATCTTTCTGACCTAATATTTTCATAGGAAACACTCATGCCTTGTGCTCCTGCAGTCCTCTGCCTCTCCTGTTGTGGGTGCTATGCTGTGTTGTTGAGTGCTCCATTCCTGAAACAGGAAACACTGGCATCTGCAGTCTGCAGCTGAGTTCCTCTGGGCCCTGTGCCCACCCACATTTAGATCTCCTAGGGACTGGCTGAGGCCCCTCCTGCACATGTACATCAGCTCTGCCTTCTGCGCAATCCTGTTTCCTTCATTTCTCAACATGTAATCAGAGAGCACTGCTCACACGCCTCATCATACAAATTGTATTGTGCCTGCTTGCCTGGGAACACTTATAATGAATGCTACTGGGCATTGTCCCATGAGGCAACACTGAATTAGTTTTCAAGCTGGACAACTGGCCCTCACTTGTAAAGAAGAAGACTCTGTCTCTGTTGGCAGATGAAGCACTGATAGACCCCAGTGTGCAAATGCAGCAGCCCTCATCCATGATGATAATCTGGCATGGAAGAGGAGAATGCACTGGTTGGAATTATTTCAAGGAACTTTAAAAGGAACAGGTAATTTTAAGGACTTAGGTGAGGAGACACACTGGGAAAGGCAGGAGCCTCTCTGGCATCCCAGTGAGAGACTCTGGTGTTGCAACCAGAGGCAGAAAATAATGACAGGACCAGGACAGAAGAACAGTAGCGGTCAGTACTTCAAGTGCATTAGGTCTCTTCTGCCAGGGCCAGGCCCTGATTTGAAAAAAAAAAAGGGGGGGGCGGAATCTGAAGCCTGGTATAAGGCTGTTGGGGTCAATGCTCTAAAAAGTCTGGAATCTGGGGCTGGAGCAATGGTTCAGCAGTTAAGAGTCCTGGCTGCTCTTGCAGAGGACTGGGGTTCAGTTCCCACCATCAACATGGTGGCTAACAACTGACCATTAACTCTAGTTCCAGGGATCCGAAGCCCTCTTCTGGCCTCTGTGGGCATTGCATGACATGGGTGCACTTACATCTGTGCAGGCAAAACACTCATACACATTAAAAAAAACCAAAGTCTAGACTCTTCAGACTCTCGTGAGCCCTCTAGGCCTGAAGTAGTGTTTTATTCCCTTCAGTTAAAGGCTAGTATATTCTCCTTTAAGACTAGCTAGATGGAGGGTTCTGCCTACCAAGACACATGCTCCCCTGAGGAAGCCCTGCCACCTCCCCTCCTGGCCAAGATACAACACAGTGGGTGTGAAATGGGTGGAAATGGCCACATACTGAAGGAGCTGGAAGAGCACAGGGGCATGCTCTTGTGCTAAGCAATTTTTAAAATATTTATTTTTATTTTAATGTATGAATGTATTGCTTGCATGTGTGTATGTAAGTGCACCCACATCATGCAGTGCTCACAGAGGTCAGAAGAGGGTGTTGGACACCCTGGAACTGGAGTTAAGGACCATTGTTACCCACCATGTGGATGCTGGGAATTGGACCCAGGTCTTCTGTAAGAGCAGCCAGTGCTCTTAACCACTGAGCCAGCTCTCCAGCCCATGTGATGAACAATTTAACTGATCATGGCTAGGCCTCTTCTTGGAAACTTGGAGACACTGATGGTCCATATTAATTATAGTGAAAATTAGCAGAGTCTGACAAACAATCAAAGAAAGGCTTGTTAGACTGACAATGGGCATGCTGAAACGGACATATGATAGAAAGCCCCAAATCCACTAGCTGCCTTGTTCTGTAGGACAGGCTGGAGGTCTCTGTTAAGCAAAGTGATAAGGACACCATAGAGATAACATAATCAGTCATAACCTGATAGAGCAAGATTTGCTCACAGTTGGGGATGAAATAATCATGAAATACACACCAGGCTACTGCAACTGTCACAAATGGCAAGGCTGGAGTGGCAACTAGAGGTATCTAATCTGTAGCAGAGATTATTCTAGAATGTGGTGTCCTCAAGGACAAGACTCATGAGCAGCTGACAAAGAAAGTGCTTAATGATATAACCATGAGAAATGAATTGTGGATGATTAGGAGAATGAAATTCACTGCTGTAATTACAGTCATGATCTCTGCCTCACTGGTCTTGAACAAGTTTTCAGACTTGGAAGCCAGTTTTTTGAAGGAATGGCTTCTGGGGTTTAAGAGCAAGTGTATAGAATCCCCTGATCTTTATCAAAGGGAACTATAGCTATAAACCTGAGTACAGTCTGTATTGACAATGATACTCTCATCTGTTAGCATACAGGGCCATGCAACAAAGAGTTACTTGGAAAAGGTTCACATTGGGATCCATAGAATTTTCTGGTAAGTCAAGTGCCTGACTTCAAAACGCATAACCAGAACAGACACACTCAGTAATTGGCAATGATTAGTTTAGTTCTTTAGAGGCAGTAAGAGTTATCATAGTAATAAAAGTTGAATGGAGGTGTCTAAAATTGTCCTCACTGACAAAGATAGTAATTCAAAAGCAGTATTACATCTAACGGGGAATAGCAGAGACAGTATGATTCTTAAAAAATACAGTGGTGGTGGCATCTATCATTCTCATGAGATTCATCAGTTTTCTCTTTCAGAAACCAGATGGAGGCTATGGATCTCTACATAGTGGAATACTATACACTCAACTACCTGGTACTCCCAGTACAGATGCAATGTGAGATACTGGAACTTTATGGGAGCATATTAATACAGATTTCTGGCCTTGGCCATGGATCTGAAAGGTATCTTTTCTTTCTGTATCAACAGGAACAGTAGTCTGTAGTAACATGCAGGCAGTATATATCTGTGGTTTTGCTCAGGATTTGCTGATTCCCCCACATCTGGCACATTTGGATCTGGGCTGTTCCATACGGTAATAGCTATTTGTAGTCATTTCATTATAAATTCAAATGAAATAAATTCAGTTCCTTGCTGTATTAGTCACATTTTAGGTGATAAGCAGTCACATGTAGCCAGTGTCTATAGGGGACAACACAGATGCAGAACATTTACACCACTGGAGTATTACTTGAATAATGGTGTTCTGAATATTTAGCAGGATACCACATCTATCTACTTATAGAGGGGACAAGAGGTGGCAGGTGTGTAGGAAAGCTTGTTAAAAATGTGTGAGGCAGATGGGTGGACAAAGACTTAGACACAAACCACATCAGTGAGACTTGCAGGGAAACACTAAGGCATGCTGTATTTCAAGCAACAAATTACTGTATTTTATACTTCCTGTTACAATGAGTGATAGGCCTCTTTGGGTCCCAGAGAGAGCATGTGCCACTCTTAGGGATATTGCTTCCATTCACTCATTGAGTAACAAGGAAGGCTGTCATCTTTGGGTGGGGTCCAGATCAAGGAAGAGCTCTGCAACAGGCCCAGCCTGCAGTGTATGGAACCCTGGAGCCAGAGACAGATGACCTGACACACATGCTATATGATACTTCACCTTTCTCTTCTGCATATGGGCGGTTCTTTGGTACGGAACTGCTATTATGACTAAAAACTTGAGTATATTTTGACACATTAATCTTACTACAAAACAATTTTTGGGGTTAAAAACTAGAAAGTATATGCATGTTTTTGAAATAATACAAATGAAATATTAACAATTGTTATCTTTGTTATGTTTTATCTATCTATGTTTATGTATGATAGATGTTTGAATTGCGCTCTTTAGCTTTTTTATACAAATTACTTGTATAATGAAGAAGTAAACAAAGAATTGTTACAATACCTGTGAAAAACATCTTTGATTTTCTTTGAAAAAATTACATTTCAGCCTGCCAGTCACAAAGGTTTTATTACTACACTTAACCATGTTTTAGGGTAAGGACTGTTTTGAATGTCTTTAATTTTGTGGTCTACAGGTTTAAATCTGGGAATAAAAAGAGTAACTCAACAGAAGTGTTTATTTAACTATGTAGCACTATTGATTACGACTTAGTAATATCTCTTCCAAATTATCTACACAATTATTATTCATTGCACACCTTACAAGTTGAGCTTTCCCTAGGCATAGTTTAACAAAGTTATACTAAATTCAAGATCAGTTTTCATATATGATTTTAAAGTTTTGAACACTGTAAACACAGGAACAGTTCTTCTAATTACTATGACCCCCCCACCCCCAATTTTTAGATGCGAACTTTTCATTTGGCAGCTTTGGTCAGGTTGGTGGCAGGACTGGTCTTTACTCAAGTATTATATACTTTTTACCTTTCTGAGACGTTGAAACAGCAGTTTCCTCTTTTTGACTTCTGCGAATGGATACTTGCTTGCTGCTGTCCTCCTTTGCTCTCTGGGGTCCTTGAGTCCAGATGGTTTTCTGGGTAAGCCTGACTACATATCTAGGCTGCACCATTTTTTTCTGCTCTTGCAGGCCCCATTTCAAAGGCTGAGTCTTTAAGCAAGCTTTAGTGAGCACAAAGTGTGGCAACAACAACCTCTTTCCGGAGAACCCATGCAGCTTCTCCGCATATTGTACAGATCGTAGAAAAGTACAAATCATGTTCACAGAAAACTGCAACTTCAGGACAACTATCAAAGCTTCGTAATAAACACACACCCAGGGTAGACACGATATGAAATCCACAGTCACATTACACAGCGTCTTAGGCGGATATCAAGTCAGGCACACCTTCTTTCTGTTTTTTTTTTTTTTACTTGAATTAAAATGCCAGGTTACCTTCCTGCTGACATTCACAACTTCCCCGCCATGTTTTCGCAAAACAGCCTGGGAAATCCTAGGCATCCTGGGAATCGCAGTTTTAGGACTTCACTCTTTACTGCATCACCATAGAAAGGAAAGCGTAATAGACTACAAATCCCACAATGCCAAGGGACCAAAATGCGCCAGCTGTTTACGTTCCCAGACGCCTCTACGTGGATCCCTGTGCATGCGCTACCTGCTATTCTGGCGACGTGAGGCGGGGCTGTTCGTGGTGGGTGTGGTTCTTCAACCTCTGAGAACAAAAAACTTGCAAAATCAGATTAGTTGCAAACTGCGTGTTCTCATGACCTTTCTAGAGAGGACTGTGTCAATTGGGAGGACCTTGAGGGTTTGCCATAATTATGGAAAATGATTTAATATCAGCATTTCCGTTTCTTCTCAAGAACAGAACTAACTATTGGAGATTAACCAGACCGCTAGAGAATCGTTCAATTGTGCACCCAAGTCAGAATGACCAGGGCTTGGGAAAGAAGTCGGCCCCAGAAGTCAGCAAGACCACGTTCACAGCGTGAAGGTGGAGGTTTCAGCGGCAAAGCCCGGTCTACGCATGCGCGAGCCCGGTCGCGCCATTGCGCACGCTCGAGGCTTCGTGCTTCTTTTCCAATCTGTCACGCTGCTACGCGGTACCGCTGGGTCCCCATGGCGACCGGACGCTGTAGGATGCTGAGGCAAAGAAGTTTTGGCCTCCACGCGCTCCGCGGGTCCTTCTCTGGCGGCAGCACGACCTGGGGCAGCTCAGGGGCGGCCGTAGGGCGCTCCGGGTTCAGGTGACGACCAGGGCTCGCGGGTGGGTCGCCCTCGTTCTTTCTGGAGTATTTTCTTTGGTCCCACCCTAGCTTGTGACTCCAGCGTCTTTAAAGCGAGAAAGATTGGAAGACTGTCAGAAGGAAATTCCTCCAGTCTTGAAACATAGGGTACCCCAGACTAGGACACAAGTAGCTACTTACCAAAGCAATACTCTGACATTCCATCCATTAATTGTTAGGCCCCATGGGAAGGCTCATAAAGGCTTCCTGTCACTGGGCACGTGTGAAGACAGGTGCAGACCACCAGCTTGCACAGGGCCAAAGTTACTCGTGCTACTGTCTTGTATCTTAGCGATTTTAGAGTGGAAATCACCGTTTATCTTTTTAATGACCTTTTAGAAGTTGAATGCATTCATCAAAACTAAGACATTTTTCTTCTGGCACACTTCTCTAAACAGGTTCCTGTGGCCATCAGGTTGGTCTGGAGGCTTGTTCTCCTGGCCAACATTTGGTACACCTCTCTGAGCCAGGCCAAGTTGCTTTCTAGACAATCACACCTTGGTACACAACTCTCTTTTAGTTGGCAGTCTTCCTACATGTGATGTGTAAGGGTCTGCAGGATTTCTGTTCTGTCCCTCACCTTCCATTTCTCTCAAGGTACCCTTGAACAGAAGGATGTTCCTCTCCTTACAGTGAGAGAAGACAATTTTAGGACTAAGTTGGAAAAAGGGCCTCCCAGAAGAATATTCCAAGAAGTACCTTACTAACCCTCTTTTATCCTAAGCTGTTTCCAGCCCTGTACCTATCACCCAGTTACATTGTTATGCAGAGGCATAATGCCAAAAGTTTACATTCCTGAGAATTTTTATTTTGCTTCTAATGCTCATTGGCTTATAAAAGTCACATGCATTTTGCTTTCTAATGAGCCAAGTGTTTTTGTAGAGACGTAAAAACAAAAAAAACAACAACAACAAAAAAACCCTGTTCCTATTACTTCAATTGCTCCCCATCTCCAGGATCCTGTGTCCTATTTCTAGGTCACAATTACCCCCACATATCCTGGTTTCAGAGACAGCTCTGTTCTTTAGTGTCATTGCAGTAGTTCTTGACTGAGTAGCCATAATGCTAGACAAAGACGTGACAAATTGGTGACAGTATTTGCCAAAAAGAAAAGACAAGTTTTTAAGTTGGAAACTTGAACTTTAAATCAATTTACCTCTATTACTAAAATTAGTCTTTATATATTACTCTGTAGGGAGACAATGAGTTTCATAAGAGTCTCTTTTTTTATTTCTTTGTGAGTTGAATGAAGTACCTGATTGATTAATTAAAGTTCCTGACATGTTTGGTGGGAACCTGCTTTTCAACCAGTGAATCAAGCTTGTGTAGAGTCTTATTGGTAAAGGAAAGTCAGCTTCTAAGAATAGAATGATTGACTGTGGTTTAAGAAAAGTGATTATTTTAATGCCTCATTGTGGGAAATTTTGTTGATTGTGTTGATTAGGAAGCAATGGTCCCCTTTTCAAACACAAAATGTTAACATGTACAATCATCACAAACTAAGAAATACAGCAGAATGCATGTTAAGTTGGACTAATTTAGACCTAGTCTGATTTGATTTACTATGCATTAACAAATATGCTTTAAAATTATTTTTATAAAAACTTTGAATGTATTTAAAGCTATGAGGCAGGAATGTACAGATATATTGACTGGTAACTTTGACTTTCTGTCTAGATCTTTTTTTGTGTGTACTTGAAAACGTTATCTAAACTAAGTGTTAGTGGATTTGACACAGAGCTACATGCAGACATGCATGTGCCTCCACTCATTGGTTAACCGGGAAGCCCATTTATACAGTGTGAAGTTTGTTTTAGGAAGAAAGGGAGATGTGCTTTTCAGTGGTGCAGAAATTAAATGGATAAATATCTTTAAGCTATGATAAAAAGGGCCCCGAAAGGGTAGAAGATGAGGATCCTGGGGGCTCCCCACCTCTGGCCTGGGGCCATAAGAGCTTTTTGTCTAGTTGGCGCTTTAGTTGTCTGTTCTATAAAATGAGAGATATCCTTTAAATGTGGAAAAACAACCCAACAAAACAGCTTTGCCATGTTTTAAAAGTTAAACACATGTTCATAATAAAATATTCATTTTCCAATTAAAATAGGATGCAATAAATTTTAAAGAATTTAATTCATTTCCCTGTACAGAGTAAGTCTTTAGATGTATTTGTAGATGACATCTGGATAAATAAACTCTATTACTTGTTCTAGTCAAATACAGGCATATCTGTTAGGTATTGGATTAGGAAAAAAATCCTTTGGTACCTGTTTCTCTTTTAAACAACTAGTGCCTGAAAAGAACTTACTTGCCTAATCATTACTTGAAACTATTTTGAGGATTCCACAATTGTTTTATCTACAGTTCTTACATGTATCATTACAAAACAGGTGACTGTTCAAGATTTTTTTTCAGCTTTAATAACCTCTGGGCAGTGAGTTAACCACCTTGGTTGAGAACTGCTTGGATTGAACTAGTGTTTGTTCCTTGAAAGCTGACTTCTGACACTGTGCTATCAGTGGACTGAAGATCCAGAGGTTCTTTTTCTGTTGTGTAAAAATTAGCACAAATACTTTGGGAGGAAATATTAAATATATTTGATAGAAATTTTCATAAGACATATGTGCTAGATAGCTTCAGTGGTCAACTTGACACACCTGGTTAGAGGGAACCTCAGCTGGGGAATTACCTTCTTTGGACTGGCCTGTCACTATCTCTGTGTTGAGTGATGTGGTAGAGCCCAGCGCACTGTAGGTAGTGCCACGCCTGGGCAGGTGGTCCTGTGTTGTATACAAAAGCAGGCTGAACATGGGCCAGAGGAGCAAGCCAGTAAGCAGCATACCTCCATGATCTGTACTCCAGGTTCCTGCCTTAACTTAACTTAATGATGGCCTGTGAGCTGTAAGCCAAATGAACCCTTTCCTTCCCAAGTTGGTTTTGGTCAGTGTTTTAATCACAACATTAGAGAAGCAAACTAAGACAACATAGATAAGATATTAAGAAAATACACTGAGGTGTGTCTGCTTAAAACTACACCAGTAAGCCTTGCAATCCTATGACTCAGATATCCTAACTACCAGTGCCTTATCTTTTCTTCTTAACATTTTCTTTGTGTCCACATGCTTCCTTTTTCTTTTAGAGGAATACAAAAATAAGTTTAATAGTAAATTATGGCCTGCTTCTTCAATTATCATATTATTAATTTAGAAGATACTTGTTGAATACTGCCTGAATGCCAGGTATATTGTGGGTACTGAAGGATAGTACTGAATAAAACTCACTTAGTGATAATAAAGAAAACAGTTGAGTAGAATGTTTAGTGTTTGATAGTGACATTTGCTAAGGAAAAACAAATAGAGACTGCATAAAGGATATGTGCTTAGGAACCAGATTAGAATTTGAGATGTCATCCAAGAATATTTCAGTGAGGTAGTATTATTTGAATAGGTGCCTAAGGAGGTGAGTAGCAAGCCATTCAGATAACCTGGAAGACAGTACAGACCTGTTCGCATTTGAGACACTCACCAGTGTAGAAATTACATTTCTAGTGACTGAGTGTTAACTCTACAGACACAGTACAGCTTAACCCATTCCTATGCTGTTTCTACTCCTCCCTCTCCCCTGTGCAAACAACTTTGAGGTGGACATTCTTGAGTATACTCTCAGGGCACATTTTCTTGACTTAAGGTTTATTTCTAGAAATGGAATTCCTGCCTTAAAAAGTATATATACTTTTTCAGGATCTTGGTTCATGCTACCAGATTTGGCTTTCTGTAAGGCACCCACCATTTTATTTGTCCTCTTTAACAGTGAAGGAGAGTGTCAGCTTCTCTGTAACATGGCAAGCAGGTGTCCTTAGCATGTTTGTCTTTACCAGTTTGCCAGATTAAAATGTATGCAACATATTAATTGCCTTTGCTCTCTTGGATAGGTCTAATAAATCTTTTAGCAAAGATTATTTTTAAATTATGTATATATGTCTGAGTGTAGGTATGTGCACATGTGTGCTGGTACCTGTGAATGCCAGAGGTCTTGGATTACCCTTGAACTAAAGTTATAAGTAAGTCACCCGATGTAGATGCTGGGTACCAAATTCTGCTCCCCTGGAAGAGCGGTATACACTCATAAACTCTGAGCCATATCTTCAGCCCTCTAGCATCTTTTAAAATTTATTTTTTTTATATGTATGAGTGTTTTGCCTGAATGTATGCAAATGTACCCATGCATGCAAAGCTCATGAAGGCCAGAAGAAGGTGTCAGATCCTCTGGAACTGGAGTTAAAAAAAAAAGTTGTTAGCTGCTGTGTGCTGGAAACCAAACCTGGGTCCTCTGCATGAGCAGCCAGTGTTCTTAGCCACTGAACCATCTCTAAGCATCTTTTGATTGAGAAAATATGCTGTAGCAAAATACTGTTAGCAGTTCTATAATGCTTTTTAGGTAAATTCATGTTTGATTAACCACAACAGTATTTATTTATGTTGAAAACAGTTGTATGTATTAGAGACCTTACTCACTTCACATTCATTGCTTAACGTATGCATGAACTCTTAGATTTCTTGGATTAAGCCTTCACACATCATTGGTATAATATAAGTCAATATAGACTAGAAGAGTAGTTAGAAATCATCTTAAATATTTTGGAATATATTCTTTACAAAATTTTTATTGTGTTAACTAGTGCCCCCCCATATTCATATTCACCCAGAACCTCAGGATATGACTTTATTTGGACATAGAGTCAGTGGAGACATAGTTGGTTAAGAGGACTTCATACTGGATTAGGGTGGGCCTAAATCCAATTTGAATTACATCCTTACTAGAAGAGACACTAGTAGACACAGCACAGAGGGAAAATGGCTGTGTGAAATGAAAGCAGAGATCAGGGTTAGGTGCCACAATCTAAGGAATCTATGGGTTCCAAGGATTGCCAGTGGTCACTACAGGATGGATTCTTCTCTGGAGTCTGCAGAGGAACCCTGTCCTCACCTTGAATTTCGACTTCTGCATATGACAGTATATTTATGTTGTAAACCCTTTAGTTTGTGGTTCAATATAAGGATAGTCCTAGGAAACTAATATAATTTGCAAATTATTCTTTACTCTTAATTACTGTTGAGGGCCAGGCCAATGGATATGAAGCATTTCTGCTTTGGAAATCTTTGTTTAAACAAAAAATTTCAGTGTAAGTACAAAAGTATAGGATTTAGTTAGAATTCTGGTTAGAGGGTGTGAAGTGACAGTCTCAAGCTTTAAAATAGACATTTCTTCTTGCCCTCTCTCCTTCCCCTGCACTCCAGAGCATAGACTGAGAGCCACTGGTCTGGCCTAACTCCAAGACATTGGTTGAAGAGTCAGATGGGACAAAAGGCACACACGGTCCCTGCTGAAGCTGGAGCACAGAGGGGTGTACTGCTAGTGTTTGTTCCATGGTATATTTGTTACCCGCCAGGCTCTGGAAAAGTTCACCTTATTCAGCCTCTCATTCTGATCTGCCAGGGTGCAGATGATAGCTGATATTTATGGAGAGCTGACCATGTACCAGCCACTCTGCTTGTTTCTAAAGAGGAGCCCTATCCAGGGAAGAGAAGCTCATTCTGCTGCTCAGAAGCTCGGGGAACGGTGCTGAGTGAGGCACATGGGAGCTCCTGGAAGATTTGGGTGCTTGCATTGTGGTGTACTCTCTTGGCAGAAGGTTGCAGGCTACATTGCTGTCTAGTAGGCTGAGGCCTTGGGCTAGGGCCCTTTCTTGCTTATGCCTTCCAATAGCAGGATGTTCCTGGAGTTGAAGGTTGTCACCTTTATGGATAATTCTGTGTGGATTTCATACTTTATACTTCAGCCCTCCCTTGAAGCTCTTAAGTATATCCCTTTTGAGTGTTAGTCCCAGTATATCTTGGGAGTTAGCCTGGTCCCCAAACTGAGAGTGGTGAACAAAGTAGAAGTGTTGGCGGAGTGAGCCAGTGGATAATGTGTACTCTGGATTTTTGTAACATTTTAAATAGCATGCAAGGTTCTAGGCGGGTCAGTAACTGATATGTGTGTGTTGTACATTGCTTAAAGAAGCAGCTTCTAGACCCTTCTAAGATAAATAGTATATCCACTAAGTGTGCTCTTGAGGGATGCCTCCTAAAAATGGGGACTGTAGACTGTATCTTCCTGGGTGTTTCAGATCTCTAATCTGATGTTGAACCTCCCTGGTTTTGTGGACTGATCCTAATAAAAACTTGTTTTAGGAACTTGGAGTAAATATAAGTATTCGTATTTAAAAAACTATAAGATGCATTATTTTATGCACCAATAAAACAGAAATATAACAATTAAAATATAATTTGTTGAATATAAGATGTTAAAATGTATGAATGTAGATACTTCTGTGTCTAACACAGTCAAAGCTATCATTGAAACTAGTCCTTTTCCTTCAAAGATCAGCAAAGTTGTAGGTTGTTGTTGATACAGATCTAGCTCACAGACAGGAGGTTCTTAAAAATCTACTGATACTGTTGTTTTTGGGTTTCTGTTAGAGAACCAAAACTGACCAGTCAGTACATTTTTCATAGTTACTTTTAACTGTCAACTTCATACAGCCTAGAATCATCTGAGAAGGGATTGACTGCCCAAATCATATTGGCCTGTGAGCATGTTTGTGGGTGATTGTCTTGATTGTTAATTGATGGAGGAAGTCCCAACCCACTGTGGGCATCACCATTTCCTGGGTATTGGTCCTGCTCTGTCTAAAAGAGCTAGCTAAGCATGAGCCTGTGAAGGAGTCAGCAAGTAGAATTCCTCTGTTTTCTGCTTTAGGCTCCACTTGAGTTCCTGCCCCATCCTCCCTCAACGATGGACTGTAACCTGTAAGCTGAAATAAACCCTTTGCTCCCCTAAGCTGCTTTTGGTCAGAATGTTTTATCACAGCAACAGAATGAAACTAGAACATGTTTATCATTGTTTTTTTTTTTGTTTGTTTCCTCTGAGTATATTTTGGAGCATCCCATTGACGGGCTGACAGCTTTTAATAAGAACATGTATTAAACTCTAAAGTCTAGGCTTCAGGTTTATTTGTCCACCACAAACATGGTTTACATCCCCCTCCTTCCTTTTCCATTTGTTCTTCTCCTTCTTTCCCCTTTCCCTCCATCCCTTGCTTTCTTTCAGAGATGAAGTTTCAGAGTGAGTATTCTTTGAAGTTAATGGAACCTTTAGAATTTTGTAAAGGGGACTAGGTAATTCACCTCATTTGGTAATTATGTAATTTGAATTTGCTACTTTTACTTTCAGAAAGAATACTGGTGTTAAACTTACTGGAGGTTCATCTGCTCTGAGGCAATATACCAGACATGGCCAGCACAATGGGAGAACCTCCTCTATCTGTTTTGTGTTCCTGGACAGGTGAGTAGCAGAAGTAGCTTGCTACTCTTTGGGGTGGGGGTTGGCGGAGGGGCTGTATGCTTGGGGCTTTTAGAGAAAATTACAGTGCTGCATATGCCAAGTTGCTATTTTGAGATTTCTAAGAATAGGATTGTGTAGGAAGAATGTACAACATGGAGAGCTTGATATGAGTCATGAGCCTGTCACCATTATACTTATTAGACTAGTTTTATGAAACTAAGCTTCTAAAAGTGACAAGTACATTGAATTTTCCTTTTATTAAATTGTTCTTCTGAATTTCTCACTTCTCAGTAGATGAAGATCCATGGAAAGTCTAAAGAAAATCAAATGTTTCTTCTGGAGGTGTGGGAGATCTTAAAATGGAGAGGGTTAGTAAGGTACTTCTTGGAAGATTCTTCTGGGAGGCCCTTTTTCCAACTCAGTCCTAAAATTGTCTTCTCTCACTGTAAGGAGAGGAATATCATTTTGTTCAAGGGCACCTTGAAAGAAATGGAAGGTGAACCTCGGGACAGAACAGAGCTCTGTACTGTGACCCTTGGCACCAAAATCCATAGAATCTTTTTTAAAAAATCATGTGAACTGATGCTGAGATGCCTGTCAATAACATTTATGGGGCACCGTCTCCATGCTAAGCATTATGGTAGAGCCCTGAAAACTTGGTATTATCATGGAGAGACATTTTATGCTGAGGAAACAAAGCCAGTAGAGCCTGTGTACTACAAAATTGTGTGTGGCAAAATTGTGATTGAAACATAAGTTGCTTACTTTAAAGTTGTAAACATTTAATATGTCAGTCATTCAGGTAACTGTCCATAGCATGTTTTTACACAGAAAAGTCAAGAGATACTTAATTAAGGGCATTGATTTAAGTTTAAAACCCTTTACTCTGGAAATAGAATCAGTCATACACTAATCTCATATTTGAGGACCTACTCTGTGTTAGATGCTGTGCTTGGTGTTAAGAGACACAGTGAGCTCTTTGGTATTTTTTTCTTGAAGCTGATGGCCTAGTGGAAGAGCTAGGTTTTAAAAAAATAAATAATTGCAAATTGGGGTACATGCTGTCAAGAAAACAAATGGGTTTCATACTGTAAAATAATGAAGTTGGATGGTAAGAAAAGTCTTCCTTGAGGAGGTAACATTGAAAATGAAACCTGAAAATTGAGATTAAAGAGCCTGGAGATGAGTGCACCACAGCAAGAACCCAGAGATGCGGCAGAGGCAGGCAGTGCTAAGGTGCTGCAGGAGAGCTCCTGGGAGGCCAGTGTGATAGGAAAAGAAAGGATAGGCTCCCATGGTTTGGGGCTGCTAGGCTTAACAGTAGTGGTTGGTTACCTGCTGCTGAGAGGGCCAGACAACAGAGAACTAGGGAAGCTGGGAGTGGCCTCAAACAATTGTTTTACGCTAGTGAAAGGAAAGGAGCCAGTTACTTATTAAAAATAATTTTTTGGGTACTTTTTATTTCCCATTGAAATATAAGAAACAGAAAGGGGGAGGCATGCACTTGGAGAGGCATGCACTTGGAGGCAGCAAGTAGAGATTTGGGTTCTTTTGTTCTCTCCCAAAAGCTCTGCAGTCAGAAGGATTGAAAAGATTGAATAGCAGGGTAAAGCTTGGGATAGCAGTAGGGGTTTATCAAGGGATGAGTATTAGGATGAGATAGTTTGGTTACTGTTCAAAGGCTGATGTGATGATGAAGAAGAACAAGGCCTGAATGGAAGGCTAATGGTCTTGAGGACACAGGTGGGGACTGGACAGCACAGGTGATTTGATAGGAAGTGAGAGTTCTTTGTAGGAATGGAGTGGAAGCAGGAGTGGGGACTATGAATACAAGAGGATTGGAGTGGATCCACTGTGTGAAATAGGGACAAGGACCTGTTCATTGTTGAAGCCCCATAGTTCTGAAAATGAACATGTAGAAATTAGCTCAAAGTTTCTCAGAGAAGCCCACTGTTAAAGAAGATTTCCTTCTTCCACACTTTGAACTTAAAAATATATATATTGAGCTTTTGTACATTTCATACAATAGTTCTTAATCAAATTTAGATCCCTGTCCCTCAACCATGCATTCCCCCCACCCCCACCGTTTGGAATCCATGTATTCCGCCATACATGTTAAGTCCTAGCCAGTCAAGCATTTGAACACCTATCTAGATCATAAGGTCTACTCTCCCTCACCTGGTAGTAATCAGTCTTCAACAGTTTCCAGACTAGGGCTGGCCTGCCACCCATTTCCCTCACTCCTCTCAGGGCCCTTGTCTGATTGAATTGGCATGGGTCTTGTGCTCGATGCCACCATTGCCACAGGTTCATAAGTGCAAGCTTCCAGTGACCTGAAAGCCTCTGTTGCCCTGTGTTCATGGACCAACCCTGGCTTTTATCTGCCCCGTCTTCTGCAGTGGTCCCTGAGCTGTGAGTGGATGAGGTTCCCTATAGGAGTCTATCCAGGGGCACACGCTCTGCAGTCTCTTATTCTTTAAAACTTAGCCAGTTTTAGCCTTCTATGTGCATCACATTCTGTTGTATAAGGAAGCTTGACTAGTGAGAGTTGAGGGATACACTGGTTTTCTCTCTGCCCCCTGTTCCACTATGTTCCGTGAGTCTTAGGTGTAGAGGGTCAACTGGAGATATGTCACCTAGGACTGGGTATCTCTCAGACATATATTCTCTGTGTGTGACCAGCTGTGGAACTCTGCAGTAGCCTCCATCTGTTGCAAATAGAAGCTTCTTTGATGAATGATACACAGTATATTTGTCTGTAGATATAAGGGTTCATATTTAGCACATGGTAAGAAATTTCATTTGACTAGAGATATGACAGAGATGGGATTTTCTCTAGGATCTGTGACCTCTCCAGCCATGTGTATCTGGAGTTCACTCCCATTGAGAGGGCTTTAAGTCCAATTAGAGAGCTGTTGATTACCCACCCCTCCAGATAACAGTACCACTAGTGTACCAGTAGAGGTAGTTTGCTGTGCCAGTCGTTATGGTTATTAGGCTTTAGGGCTGGGTTGGACCATTGATTGATTTTCTCCTTTAGCGGCTTGCATAGTATCCTTTAGAGCTGTGAGAGTTAAACTTCAGGTAGATGTTCCTGATCCACTGCTCTAAGTCCTCTGTCCGAAGTATGTCCTGTCGTCAGCAGTAGGGTCTTATCTCCTGGTTCTTGGAGATACCAAGAGCTCTGGCAATAGCCTGTGTTATTTTGGGAATCTCTTGGACTACTCTGACCAACCACTGTAAGGGAGGTCTCTTCTGTCTGGCACTGTGTTCCTTGCCATACATCTCTAGTTATACATATGCACTAAATATTCAGACACTGTATGCACATTTCTCAGGGGGTTCCTGAGCCAACACATTTCCCTCTAGCTTCCCTAGCCCCCCAAGATCCATTCATCTCTCCTCTTTCTTCCCCCATCTGACCTCTCTCTTTCCTCCTCAGTCCAAGTGTCTCCATTATCCCTCCCCTCCCCTAAATAACACTTGTTTCCTGCCACCCTCCCTGTCATGGCTTCCTTCCTTCCCCACCATGGCCCCCTGCATGTCTCTCCTTCCCTCCCAGCTGAACATTATCCCCCACCCCCCCAACATCCATTCCCTAACTCCCTCTTTTGGGCTCTTTCTTTTTCTTTTCCTCCATCAGACTGGCCACACTGAACTTTTCTGCCCTTTCTCTCATTTCTTCTTTTCTTTTCTTTCTCCATCATCTCCATTCCAAAGATTATGTGAAGCTATAGATAGGAAATAATTAGACTCCAACAGAAATTAACCCAGTATGGGTATAAACATTGATTGTTCCAACTTGGAAGTAACCTTATTGAATGGTAAATAAGAATGCATTATTCAGGTCTTGTGTGGGTAACCACTGCTCCTGTGAGTACATGTGTGCAACTGCCATGTCATGGCCAGAGGACAGCATTTCATACAACTCCTCTCCATCCTTTGGCTCTTCCATTCTTTCTGCCCTCTCTTCCATGAAGTTCCCTGAACCTTGGTGTGTTTGAGGGTGTTGATATAGATGTCGCATCTATGGTTGAGTATGCACAGTCACTTATTTATTGCACTTTGAACAGTGAGAGGTGGATATGATAAAGATACATTGTAAACATGTATGAAATTTTCAGAGTAAATTAAATTAAAAAGGAATGAATTAGTCTTAGCTATTTCAACTAGAAAATAGAGGCTTTCTCCTTGTGCCAGAAGTAGAAAGAAAGGACTCTACCTTTTAATATTAATCTGGTAGATAGGAAGTTGGAAACCTATTTTTCTAGTTTGCCTTCTGTTTTGTGATAAAATACTGACCAAAACCGTCTTGGAGAGGAAAGGGTTTATTTGGCTTACACGTCCTGATCACAGTTCATCTTTGAGGGAAGCCAGGGCAGGAGCTCAAGCAGGAACCTGGAGGTAGGAACTGAAGCATAGACCATGGAAGAATGCTGTTTGCTGGTTTGCTTCCCTGGCTTGTGCTCAGCCTGCTTTCTTATACAACCCAGGACCATCTGCCCAGACAATCAAGGATATTGATGAACAGATATGGCCACAGGGCAATCTCATAGAGGCCATGCCTCAGTTGAGGTTCCCTTTTCCCATGTGTGTCAAGTTGACAACTGAAGCTATCCAGCACACCTTTCTACTGCCTGATTTGAATTGATTTTTTTCAGTTAAATTATTTTTTAAAAAATATTTTATAATTTTTAAAAATTTTATTTGTACGAGTATATGTAAGTACATCCATGTCATGTCATGTACCATGAAATGAGTGCCCTCAGAGGTCAGAAGAGAGTGTTAGATTCCTTGGAACTGGAGTTATGGATAGTTGGTAGCTGCCATGTGAGTGCCGGGATTTGAACCTGGGTCCTCTGCAAGAGCAGCCAGTGCTCTAAATCATTCAGCCATCTCTCCAGACCCTGTTCAGTTTAATTCTTACAGTTACTCTGTTACTCTATACTCTTCTGAAATGTCTGTACTCTTAACTCTAACAGTAATTTAAAAAATAATAGGTATAAACTTTTTTTTTCACATGACAGGTAGCTTTTATTTCAGAATACAGTGTCCACAGGTGATGACCTAGGGTGGGAGATGAAGGTAGGGGGAGGAGGGGGCAACTCCAGTGTCAGACTACACATCAGGGTATCAGGTGTCGGGGGGGGCACCAGCAAGGGAGACAGGAGGTAAAAATAATCTCTGCCAGCTGACCCTCAGCACTGTGTCCCAGGCTGGGCCCTGGGCTCAGGTCCAGGAGCAATTCTGGGGCCTGAGAGAGTCACATTCCCTGGAAGAAGGTCCTTTCCCGGAGATATAAACTTTTTATAAAACAGTTTATGAAAATGCATATAGTGGATAATCCAAATGGTGACAAAAACATATTTTTTTACAGCTTTGAAAAAATGAGACCATGTCTAATTGAAGGTGTCTAACTAGCCTGATTCTGAATGTAAAGGATTTCATGGGAGGTGGGGAGGATTTAAGTGAGGCAAGACTGCATGTTCAGTCTCTGCAAAAGTCTTGCAGAAGCCTTAAGCAGTGGTAGACTTATACAGTGACATATATAAAATATGTGAGGGATAACAAATTTTCTCTGGGGGGCCTTTTTATAATAGTTTCAGAACTTTGAGACTATTTCCTTATGAAACTTTGATCACCCACTTCTCATCATAAATAAAATTAATCATTAAAGTGATAGGTGGAGACCATGGATAAGTTGTTTCATGTTGGACAAAGAGTATTTTCTTTAATGCTTTATCCCTGCATCTTCCTGCTCCAAATCTTGGTTACAATCTGTAGCTCCATGTTGATTTGTTCAATCAAATGCTGATAAACATGCTTGGAGGCCCATTCCTGACTTACTTAATAATGCTCATAGAATTTCAGATTCTTGTGGTGTGTATAGAATTCTGAAGTTGTGAAAATGGATTCTTAAGAATACATCACAGCATCTCTAAGTCATATAAATGAAACCCTTCAGAAAACACTTGAAACTCTTTGGAAAATACTATGAGGCCAGATGTCTTTTTGAACCTGGGAGGAAGCAGTGTCCTACAGTGAGGAAGTTTAGCAGGAAGGTGAATGAGACGGTGTGAATACAGGTTAGCTGTGACACAAAGTTAATGCTTCCAGTTCTACTTAACATTTCTGTGAGTAGGAGAGATTCTATATTTCCCTTATTACTGGTATAATGTATTCTCTGTCCCTTATTTACCTGTATCTTTGTAGAGGATAGCACACACTCTTGAGAGAAGCAATGAAGTACTGCCTGTTGATTTGGTTTATGAGCCTGATTGATTACAAAGTCAGGTCTCCATGCCCTGTGCTCATCTTTATTGGTCCATGCCACGAGAACTGTACTAACTAGAAAATTGTAATTGAGAAAATAATTAAAGATGTGAGAGCAGTTTGCCTCTTAAACAGGAGTGTGCTTGTTGCCTCCTGTTTAGATATAGACAGCTAGATGTATTCTGGATAACTTGTAGATTCAGCACTGGTCCACTTGTCTGATTTTTTTTCCCTTCTCTCTCAGAATGCCCTCAGAAATCTTGTTGAAGATTTTTTCCTACTTGGATGCTGTGAGTCTGCTATGTACTGGATGTGTGAGCAGGCGCTTTTATCAATTGGCCAATGACAAGTAAGAGTACACCATGTCTGTCTGTTAGGCTGTGATGAAAGCTTGATAGAAGTCATGAAAATTAGTAAGAGCTGTAAACCATTTCTAAAAACTTAACTGAATTAATTTCATTGCTCTTTTCAGACAGTAATATGTCTAAAGCTGTATGTAGTTATAGGATATTTTCAGACATTTTCGTTTATGCATGGAAGGTAAGGACTATTCTTTGTGTGTACTGTTCTTTACATGCTATTGTTGCAGCTGTAGAATGAAGCTTTGATCTGTGAGGGGTCCTGGTTGGCTCACTCAGGGCTTGATAGACCCATCCATTCACAGAGCCATGTGCTTGCAACCCTGGGTTCCCAGATCCTTTGTTTTCTCTGCCAGTGGTCAAGCTGATCATAGAAAAAGAAGCAGGAGGGACCATGTTAAATTGACTTAGCTCCTCTTCCCAAATCTGCCTATCTAATACACTTGATGTTTAAGGACTGAAGAAGGAGAGGAGCAAGACCCAGTGGATCGAGACTTTATCCTTGAAACTGAGAAACTTCCTCTCCTAGGCTTTCAAATCATCTATGAATAAAGAGAAGTCACTGATTCATTTTGTCATTATGAGTTTGGCCTGCACTCCAGAATTTCATCCTGTGTAGACAGAAATTATCCCCTAACATCTATTGATCATTTTATGTTCACAACTGAACATATTGGCTCTTTAGGGTTTTCTCTTACTCAGTATCAAAAGATCATGCAAATGTAATTTCTGAATAGAAACCACACGTTGCTAGGAAACCTAGAAAGATAAGGAATACATGTTTGTAGTGGTGGCTTGGTTTAAAAGGAAAAGAGGTGGAGAGTGACAGATATATCAGATACTCTGGAGGCAAGGAAGGCATGAAACCTTGGGGTACTGTGACTTTCAGATACTAATCCATGAAAGACTGTCAAAATAAGCTAGGAGAATTTAAAATGTTGGATTCCTAGCCTGCATTTATGAAGGTTGTAATTCAGTGCTTTGGAATCCATATTTTAAAGTTTTCTTTAGATCATATTAATAGACTCTGAAATAACTAATCTAATGGATCTTTGATATTATGTGTTTGCCTTTTAAGTATAAAATTCATGACTTCTCAGATTGGATCAAGGCTGTTCTCAGCTGTTCTCACACTCCAAAGGGGACATGTTCTGTTCTGTGGTTGGGAAGGGTGGCCCTTGTCTTTTAATTTAAAAAGAGGTTTCATATGTGAGAGAGCTTATGTCTGTGTCTGTATATATGCATCAAGGAGGAAAATAGTTATGATGTTCTTAACAATTCTAGAATGAATGTAGATGATTTTTTTGTGTCTTATAAAAGTTGTGTGTGTGTGTGTGTGTGTGTGTGTGTGTTCTTGTATGTAGCTGCATCATGTATTTGTTGAGAAGATTAAATAAGTTGGTGTTGATGTATATGAATTGCTTAAATAACAGAACGTGTGCTCAAAAAATTTAGCTGTTGGGGTTGGAGAGATGGCTCAGTGGTTATGTACTGCTCTTGCAGAGGACCCAAGTTCCCAGCACCCACACTAGGTAGCTCATAATTGCCCTTAACCACAGCTCTAGGGTACTGGAAGCCTTCTTCTGATTTCTGAGAGTACCTGCAGACACATGCCACACACACATAAATCAAAAACTAAAATTAAAAAAAAAAACTGTTGCTGTTATCTTTTAATGACCTTCATTGTTTTTTTTTCAACAAGGCTATCTTTTTTAAAAAAATTATTTAATAACCACATACTTAGAAGAAGCATTTCATTACAACAGCATTGACATATTCAATAACAATTTCCAGAGCTAAGATGTATCTCTTTCAAAATTGGCTGTAAATTTTTAGGCTTACAGTTGAATCAATACAGCTATACAATATTGTACTCAATA